GATGTGACATCACTTGACAGCTACACAAAGAGAACAGAGATGAATGATGGACCAGGGTGCCATGAGACTTCACCATGCTACTAGGGATGGCACAAAACGTAAATTTTGCCAGGATTCATTTCTGGGACTTGAACTTTCACATTTTCAGGCTGTGCTTGAACTGAAAAGCCAGAACATGAACTATTTTGTCTGCTCTCTTTCCTGCTGATAAAAGCAGGACTGTTTCAAAGGGGAGGTGAGACTGTCTTTCATGAAAAAAAAAAATGTTGTCCCCACCGCTGACGAAGATTTATTTCAATATCTCTAAAGTGTGCTTCCCACAGTGAATGGTAGTAAACTACACACACACACACACACACACACACACACACACACAGAGCTATTTCCTATAACTAAATACCTGCAGGCCGGGGATTTAGCTCAGTGGTTCCACCGCCTGTCTTGCAAGTGCAAGGACCCTAGTTTGATCACCGGTACCCAAAAAAATCCCCTAAATACCTGCAACAAAATTTTGTTGATAAATGTTCCATTGGTATATGTTAACAGTACTTAAGAAATGGGTATAATTAAAATGTGATATAATCAATGCCATGTGAATGTAGTCTTTCTCTGTACATGCCTTTCTCCTGTATGTGCCCTTCTTGGCATAATGTGATATTTATCACATGATGCCTACATGATAAGATGAAAGGGGTTGAATAATGCAGCAGGGTGCCATGACACCCCAACGTGCTATTAAGAATGGCACATGATTGAACATTTGCCAATTTTTATTTCTGGAATTTTAAACTGAATATTTTCAGACTCTGCTGAAATGGCAGAGTGTTGTACTGTATCAGATGAACAACTAGGATTATCTTAGTTTCACAGCATAACTCCTGCATATACAGGGCAAAGTTCGTGCTCCAGTACAGATGCAGCCTGCATGAATGATTTCTTAGGGGAAGCCAGTGCTTTAGTTCTCGCTCATTGTGTTCATGCACTGTGAGCATCTCATGCTTGTGCTGCACGCTGCTCACTCTACATTTCTGGACCCACAAGTGTGAGCCCATTCCCAGGGCTCTGGGTCCTGTTTAGGGGTTTTTTTTTTTGTTTTTTTTTCGGTACTGGGATGGAACTCAGGTCCTTGTGCTTGCAAGGCAGGCAGTGGAACCACTGAGCTAAATCCCTGGCCCATCTGGGTCCTGTTTATCAGAAAGCATATTCATGAGATTTTCTTCAGAAATATATGAAGGGTGATAACATCTTCACAATGCTCTGATCGACACATGCCAACAAAATTAAAAAGCACCATGCTGAGTGTGTCTGTGATACTACTAGAGACAGAAGGAAGTGCACTGATCTGAATGCAAAGAACCTCTCTAGAAAAACTACTGGCACCATCCAAAGGGGATTGAGCATGGTGGATTAAAGATAAATGGGGGGGAATTTAGTTCAGTGGCACCACGGCTGCCTTGCAAGCACAACATCCTGAGTGTGATCCCCATTACCAAAAAAACAAAATCCTGTTCCATATGCATAATGAAAGGGCCAATATAACTATGCCCTTTGTTTATTTATACATTCAGTACATTTCTGTTGACCTATATTCAGAAAAATCCAACATAGAGTCTATTCCATGATCAAATACTGAACATGATGCGTACCTCACTGAAGAGTCCCTGAGGAGCATTTGTTACTCCCCCTTGTGTCCTGTAGTGCACAGCACAGGGCAAAGCTTACTGCTGCTGCCCCACCATGTGAGCGGGTATTGGACCACGTTTCACTAGTGAGCACACGGAAAAAATTTAAATGCTGGAACATGTGTCCTAAAGGACAGGTGTCCTTTTTCCTCTGCTCTGAAGTAATGAAGATTGAGCTCAGTGCCCCATACATGCCAAGCAATCACCTTAGGTGGCCACAAATTGGCCGCCTGTTTTATTCTGAAACACAGACCTTCTGAATTTCCCAAGTTCACCTCAACTTCACAGTCTTTCTACTTAAGTCACACAATTACGTGGGGTTGGGGGTGTGCACCACCGTACCTGACTACTATTTCCTCATTGCCATGACTTCAATATATAGTGAGTGGGACCTCATCACCCTGTGCTTCAAGATGAGGCCAAAGGTGCACTATTACTTATCATTTTCTCCCCTGGAAAGGCTTCCTGAGGGGCTTTCTTTGGAGACTGGACAAGAGGAACATGATATTCTGGCCCCTTGAGAATCTCACAGAATTTGTCAGTTACGGTGCCAGAACAGAATCTCTGAAGATGAAAACGAGCTTGGTCCTGATGACACCTACAGGTCTGACTCACTGACTTTACCCACATTGTGCTGTCACCTACGATGCTGGCTTGTAAATGCTGCAACACTCAACCTGCCACCATCTGTCAGGTAATTCTACATCATTTTGGGGAAAATCATTTGATTAGGCCTACTTCTCCTGCCTACAGGCCAGCTATGGCATTTCAGGACATTGCTCCACTTTGGCCTCTGGTCACAACTGAGACCTCAATGATCCGGTGATGCTAGGATGCTCTAGGACAGACTGCACCAGCTGAAGACATCCAGGGAAGAACAAAATCTTCAGCCGCATGCTTCCTCAGTGATCTAAGAATTCCACCCCCCCCCCAGTCATCTGTTGCCTTTGTTTCTCCCCATGTACTGAACTCTGTCTGGAGTCATTTGTTACATTTGTTTCTCCCCTTGTACTGAATAAAGGTGCAGTAAGCTCAGGGGTTTTTGACTTTGGCACCCAGAGCAGCATTGATCAGACCCAGAGCTCAGCTTCTTCTCAAAGTCTCATTTTTTCTACCCTTTCTTGTATGTTAATTTGCCTTGTGCTGTTGTGCTTCACAGGAGACTAGGACTCACTGCAGAAGTTCTAGTAATGGCCCCTTTCCCTGTTCTCTACAACCACCTCTGGCTCCTGGTTGCTTCAGCTCATGTGGAGTACCCATAGGAAAGCAGCTAATGGGATGCAAGAGAAGGCAGGGTGTCTGCTCTTCTGCCAGATGCCTTGCCCGCCTCAGATGATGGCAATCCTGTGGGCTGCTGTTGGCTCAGTGCCTGCTGAGTTCACCTCTGCCAGCCCTGGGTCTCACTGGTTTCTGGCAACTTCAGATTTTGCCCCTTTGACTTCACTGTGTATTTGTGTGACTTGCTGCTTCAGACATTGCCACTTTTCACATGACACATGGGTCACCTGTGTCATGATGAATATGTTTGTAAATAAAACTTCATGTGCCTTGCACTGTGTTGAGCTCATTATCCAATTCTTACCTGGACTCTTTTCACATCATAAGTATATTGATGTTAGAGTTGTGAGCTAATTTAGTACTTGGTATAATTTCAGGTATGTCCACATGCAAGCCAGTATTTTTATATAGAGTTAAGATACATAGGGCCGGGGATTTAGCTCAGTGGTTTTGCCTGCTGCTGCACAGGCACAAGGACCCCAGTTGATCCCCAGTACCAAAAAGAGAAAAAGATACATAATGTTTACATTCCTCACATGGAGTTGCTGGATGTACATAAAATATCTTAACTCCTTTTTTCTCCTCTTCTCTCAACTCCCCACCCTCTCTCCACCTTTTAGGAGTCATGCCATACTTTTCATAGTCAATTTGCAGAAAAGTGGCTGGAAGGGTCTGAAATCTCAAACTTATGTAGGAAAATATCATGAGCTGATGATCACAAAGAACAAATTATATTTGTCTCAGTTCTGGAGACATAAACAGTGCAAAATATATGTGTTGGCTAACATGGCTTCCGATGAAGGTTATCTTTTTTTTTTTTTGTACTGGGGATTGAACTCAGGACCTTGCGCTTGCACTTGTGAGGCAGGCAGCAGCACCACTGAGCTAAATCCCCTGGCTAAAGATTATCTTCTTGCAGATGAATATTTTCTGTCTCTTTTTCTCTCTTATTGTGTGCGTTTGCATGTCTGTCTCCGCTCCCTTCCTCCTTCGCTGTATCCCATAGGTATTCCAACTACAAGAGATGCAACTATGTGAACAAGTAAAAATCTATGCACATTTGAGTGTGAGAAATCCAAGTAGTACAATACTTTGGTCATGGGATCCACGTATGATTTGGGGGGTGTTACCTTCAGCACAACACCAGAAATAAGCAGATAATTTTATCAAAGAGGTTTACAGACCCTCCTACGCAGATGGAACTCTATCAACTAATATTCGGTAAAGAAATTTTGGCAGGGTGGAGAGGTGTAATTTTATTAATTACTATGAAAGGGTCTGAGGATGGAGTATGCTTTTAGAAAGGTCCAAACACGGAGATACATACTCCAAGGAAATGGGATAATCCATACAAAAGGAAATGCTATTCAAAAGAAACCCATTGAAATTGCAAAATGAACAAAGAAATGCTTTTCAAGAAAAAGGAATATAGGGCTGGGGATTTAGCTCAGTGGTTCCAGCACCTGCCTCGCAAGCGCAAGGTCCCAAGTTTGATCCCTGTTACCAAAAGAAAAAGAAAAAGGAATATAAAAACTAGCAATTTTTTCGGGATCCATATTATGTCTGTGGGATTGTTATTTACTTATGTGTTAGAAACTATGTCCCGAGAGTTCTTATTCAGTCACTCCTTATTGAAGAAATGAGTACATTGAACCTGGCCAAAAAAATTGTGAAGTGATGAGAACTGACCTTTTCAAACATTTATTGGCATTAGTAATTGTTCACAGCACATAAGAATCACATTCACTGTGGAAAGCTGGTGCAAGTGTAGAACACGGCTTCCTCTTTTTTCATCCGCTTCTCCTCCACGCTTTCTCTCTCCCATCACTCTCTTGGCACCATTTACTCTGGAAAAAGACCCTTCTCCTTGCTTCCTATTATGCATTTTATGTGTTTCTCTTCAATTTATTCCTATTTTGCATTGCTCATTTAAGACGGAT